TGACCAACTATCACTTCTAGCTCTAGGTACAGATCCGGGCTTAGAGAGGGCTATCCGGAGCAAACCTGACTCCTATGAGTGACCATGAAAATTCCTGGCTGCCAGGGCAGCAGTCTCACCATCCCAGCTGGTTTGAGAGGGTTTTCTCCTTCAAGAGATCTAGAAGGCTGAGTTGAAGCCACATGCTGAGATTCCCAGCTACTACTGCTTAGCCTGCAGGGTGACTGTCCTTTCGTGGAGAGAGTATGCGGGGCACAGGTGTAGCCTCTGTACCCTGCTCTCCTTCCAGGCTCAGAGAAGACCCCTGCCCAGGAGGTCCCCACTTAGGAGGCAGAGACCAACCAGTTTCTGAAGGCTGTCCAGGAGGCCAGGAACCAGCAGTCTCCCGAGGCTGCTAGGGAAGTGGGGACTCAGCTGTCTTCCATCAAGGTCTGGGAGTCTGAGTCCCAGTGATCTTCCAAGGCTCCTGGCAAGGCCACCCCAAAATGCAGTTGCTAGGTTATGAAGACTTCTCCAGCCCTGGAGTGAGAGCGAGGCAGTTGTTAAAGTGGAAGCCCTTAAAGAGCCTGATTTTTCTAGGTTCTACTTCTGCCCCAGAGGCTGGAAAAGAATCATGTGGATTGTTTTTGTTTTTCTCTTCTGTTAAATGTTGGTAACACCAACTTAAAGCATTATAATAAAGACTTTCATGTCCCTAATGTCTGTTAATTGGAAGGTAGAGGGGAGAGAAAGACACATTCCTCCAGCAGCCAAGTTCCACTCTGCCGCACCTCTCCTTCCTTTCTGGCTGATCGTCCCTGCTGCCTCACATGTTTCCCTCATGTTCCTTGATTGCCGGTATCTGACTTTGCTGGGCGAGAGGCCTCTGGGGCTCACTGAGTCAGCCCTCACGAGGAAGCCTCTCCAAGCCAAGATGGTTTCACTCAAGGTGATTGGGATGTGAAAACCTGGTTGCCCAGGACTAGTGACTGAGTCCAGCACGACCTGGAAGCCTGAGCACGTTGCTGTGGCCCTATTTCCCACTTCTCAGCTGGGTCAACAGAGAGAGGGGAAGGGAAGTTAGGAGAACTGGAGCTGCACTGGGGGCTGCACTGCTGACATCTGCAAGTCTTGCCCAGGTCAGTGACCTTTTCCTCAGCTACTCTGACAGCAAGAAGCCCCCCTGGCTTCCCTCTTGAGGTCCTAATGCTGGTCGGGGCTCTGGGATGCAGGTCTCTGGGCCTGCACATGAATCTAGAAGGATGCAAACAGCTGGGTGCTAGGATTAAATAAACAATAACACACAATAATGTGGGATTATGAAATCTTTCATTTAAAATAAACCTAACTTTAAGCACCAGGGAAGCGGTATGTCTATCAAAGACTGTCACCACTAAGAGAAGACTACCCTAATTTTAAATAAGTGTTTATGTTATAAAAGAATTAGTGATGTAGAGTTGAATTTATGATACTTTATTAACTTTTTATTTTAACAACAGGTAATAACTTATTAGGATAGCTGACTTTACTCTTAGAAGAGGAAAAAAGGCTAAATAGAGCAAACTTTAGACATTTCAAATGTAGAATCAAAGTTTCAAGGGAGACTCAGTCAGAGTAGAATAAAACCCAGGGTGTGTTTTGTTTTCCTCTAATACCTATGTGACCAAAATGTCAGATTCACATGCTATTTTTTCAATACTTAAATGCAACTTTACCATTCCAGCTTGTGTCCATGCGTGTGACTTTTCTACTTTTTTCAATATCTCACCCCTATTTTACTTATATAGCTTTACAGAATGTTTTACTATTTGAGAGGGCAAGTCTACTTTCACTTTTCTTTTTAAACTCTCACTTTTCAACTGATGGTCTTGGTCATTTCTTTTTCAGATGAAGGAACTTATTAAAAATATATAGATAATTAGTTGAGGGAAAATGTGTCTACAAATGGCTTCCAAAAGATCCTGGTTTTGTTCTAGGAAGCAAAGTATGCCAGTGCTTATTATAGTTCTTAAGCTGCATATACATTATGCATACATGAAAGTATATTGTACCAATTAAAAAGAAAGGGAAATTCTAGATGGGAAGACACAATGTCTGTCATTCTCTACCTACATGATCTCTGTTTAGGCACTGATGTCCAAGGCACTGGTGTTGTTACTTCTATTCAGGACAAGGAAGAGGCAAGAAGTCAGGGAGAAGAACAGAACACTAAGGATTGCAGAAGGTGGCAACAGGGGCTGGGCCAGGGAGATGAAGGTAGGTGAGCTCTTAAAAGTTTTGTCCAGCAGAAATATATGAGCCACACATATAATTTAAAATATTATAGTAGCCACATTTTTTAAAACGAAGAAAGAGTTGAAATCAGTTTTTAGTAGTTGATTTAACAGTGTCTCCAAAATGTTATCATTTCAACATGTGACTATTATATAAAAGTTGAGATATTTTACTTTTTGTGTGTGTTTTATATTTTTATTCAGATATTTTACTTTTTAAAATACAAATCTTCTAACAATGGCAGAATGTCTCAATTTAATCTAGCCACATTTTAATTGTTTAATAGATAGATGTGACTGGTGGGTTCCATCTTAGACCACACAGTCTTAGATTTTGAGAAGATCTAAAATGGGAGAAACAGAGGCATGGGGGACAAGGCCCATCAGTCCTTTCTTAAGGGTGTTCCAACAAGTAACTCTAGAGGTTAATTGCCACCACCATGAAAAACTACAGGATAAGGGGAAAGTACAGTTCATCTGTAGATTCTTGAAAGCCTGGGTTAAGATACTTCCTCTCACCCCAGTTTCTTCCTGAGTTGCTTTGGCTTTAGTGGTCATTGTCTCTGTTCTATAGCAATAGCTGCAAATATGGTGAGATAGTCCTTACTGAAGGCAGCTAGCAGCTCTTGAGTTCCTTGTGAGCAGCTCTTCTTCATTGTCTTCTAGTTTACAAATCACCTTCCAGTCCCACATTGCTCAGTGTCCAGGAATTACATGAAGTTGGAGGCCCTAATGGAGGCTCATGAAGCAAATAATTTGATCTTCACTGGATCTAGCCCACCCTGGGATCTTACTGACATGTTTTTCTCATCATTACAGGTCAGAAAGTGATCCCACACCATTTCAGCTTACATGTTCAGAACATCTATGAACATCTTTCCTGGAACTGACACTTCGAGTTTCACCTATTGATACGGCCTCTTCTTCCTCTTTAAACAAACTCAAGAAATGAAAACTCCAGCTCATGCTGGAATTGTAGGGGGCATTAAACCAAGCCAGCTACCTAGTATGGAAAAGTAGCAGAGGTTGCCCTATGCCAAGTCTCAAGAATCAAAAGTTTCAAGAAATACATAACTAATATTACCCCCAAACTCTGAAAGATAAAATTAGAGAAACTAACCCTTTTAGATTTTAAAAGGTTATAAAGCTAATAAAAATAGTATAATATCTGCATATGAATCAAAAGGAACATGGAGAAATATAATATTAAATGTAGGATGTAGTATTTGTCTGCTAGAAAGCACCACAGACTGGGTGATTTAAACAACAGAAATTTATCTTCTCACAATTCTGGAGGTTGGAAATCTAAGATCAAGGTGTCAGTCAGTAGTTTTGGGTTTCCTGAGGCCTGAGGCCTCTTCTTGGATTGCAGATAGTCACTTTCTGTGTCCTCATGTCTTTCCGTACTCACATGTACAAAGAGGGATCCAAAAAAGAGGATTATCTTTTTGGAGGGCAGGCCCATTGTGGTACAGGCTTATCACGCTAGGTAAGCGTTCTAGGAACCCACTGGCATCAGTGTGCCAGCTAGCATTGTTGTGAGAGGCTGTGTCTGATTTCAGTAAAAATTTTTTTTGAAGATTCTTTCAATGCGTTTGTTCATTTCATGATGGGTGACTTATAAGCACACCTGTTCATGCCATGCTTAGTGTTCAGTTTTTGGCCAAAAATGGCATGATTCCCATGCTACACCCTCCCTATTCACTCGATCTTGCCCCAGTGACTTTTGGCTTTTCTGGATGAAAGAAAGTCCTCAACAGGAAACGTTTTGCCAGTGTGGATGAAGTGAAACAAAAAAACAGCAGAAGCAGTGAAAGGCATCCAAGTTAACAAATTCAAAAACTGTTTTGAGCAATGGAAAAGTGTCTTGATAGTTGTATTGCATCAGAGTTTACTTTAAGGTGACTGAAGTTTAAGCATGTAAGAATATACGATTTAAAAAAACACATTCCCGGTTTTTTTGGGGGGGTCCCCCTTGTAGATTCAAATTTCTTCTTACAAAGAAACAATCATATTGGAAAAGGGCCAACCCATATGACTTCATTTTCACTTTAATTCTGTCTTTAAAGGCCCTCGCTCCAAATACAGTCTCATTCTGAAGTAATGGGAGTCATGGTGTCAATATATGTTAATTGAGCAAGGGTGGCAGAAGAGGTGATCATCCAGTGACCTTTCAAAGACTAGAGTGAGTTTTAAGCTTAACTCTTCCTCCCCCCCTACCCAATTAACCGTCAAAAATGTTCATGGTTTTGTAAAAATCTCACCAGGAATAACTTAAGGAAATAACTATGTCTATAGGAGAGAAATCAGAAGCTCATAAACTTAAGAAAGATAGTTGTGGGTAAATCACAAAGGACATAATTTGTTTAACCACATAAGATAAACATCTTTGGTATGCAAAAATTCAAGAAGAGAAAATGGCAATAATGGGCCATTCTTAGCTTACAGAGATGAAGAGCATCCTTATCTTCAAAGCCGAAAGATGGGAAATAAGAAAAATGTAAAACTGAAGCAAAGTTAAGTATGCGTTTAATATCATCGGTAACCAAAGGGCGATTTAAAAGTCCTATGAGTTTAATAGTCCGGCAAATGTCTAGAACCCTGAATACAGGGTGAAAAAATTGTCACTCAAACCAATTCCAACTTTACCTGAGCCAAAGAGCTCTGGCACTCTCAACTCCAAAGTTCTGCTTCCTGAAAGTAGTGGCAAGGGTAGGAGCTGGTTTGCACAGATTGGTTACCGCAGTGTCACATGTAAGGGAAAACACTCCGGTTCACGCAGGACACCTGTGCAGCCTGGTGAAAACGTAAGACAACGGGCTTGAGGTAGGAGCTCTCCGCAAGCCAGTCTCCGGGCAGCGCAGCCTGACGAATGCTGACAGTCTTGGCCTGCGAGTTGGAACGCACCGGTGCCTGCAGGAGGAAATGGCAATCCTACAACTCGCCTCTGGATGAGCACTGCAGGAGCTGCTTGAGCAGTGTAAGTGCGCTTGTTAGAAATGCAAATTTGGGTCCCACACAGGAGCTGAGCCAGAATCACTGAAGAGGCCTAGGAAGCTGAGCAAGCTCAAGGCGATTTCTTACAAGCTTTAAAGTTTGAGAACCTATAATGTAAACAACAACAACAACAAGACCCCCAAACAAATCACCATTTGTGAGATTATCTGCACCTGTGCTTGAGGGTCTGACGTTGACCACAAAAATCCTAAGAGGGTCAGGAGTTTCAAAATGGAAACTCAAAAGGAAACAAAAACACAATCTACCAACCTTCTACCTACCCCTCACTCAAATACACAAATGAACAGTCGATCATTTATAAATTTGCTTTAATTTTAAGCGAGCAAAGATCTTTATTCCATTAGACAAAAGCTATTTCTTTATCAAAATAGCTCTTCAAACTCACTCTTGCAACAAAAGACCACTATCGATCAATACACTGGAAAAAGGCAGATTTTTAGGAATACTGTCCTTGCCTCTGGTGGCAGAAGCAGGACTGTTCTCAAGGCTCCTGACAAGAATCAGGTTGCCTTAAGCAGCAGGGTGTCGGGGATTGGGGACTTGATGCATGGGCCTTCAAGTTCTCCAGGTGTTTGATCTTCTCAGCTGAAAGAGAGGCAATTGACAGGAACCAAGGACAAGGAAAAGTGTAGTTGTTCCAAACTACTCTTCCCTTGGGGGTGGGGGAGGAGAGAGGGAAGAGAGAGAGGCTCTGAACCTGAAATCTGAGGTAGTGCTGCCTTGGGCAGGGACAGATCCGAACGCTTAAGGGCTCCCCTTAGCTTCTCAAGGGCCACCCAGGGCTGCCCTCCCAAAGGGATCCCTAGAAACTTCGTGTAGCGTCTGGCGTTTTGGAAACTGCAAATTTTGAGAAGGTTAAGAAAGGATGGAAGGAAGCCAATGAAGGTCAGTAGGGACACCTGTGGCTCTCTCCACATGCAGGTTCTCAAAGACTCTCACCTTGGGCACGACGTTCCCGGTATAGCCGCGCCAGGCACAGGAATATGCTCCGCACCCGATTCCGCACACGGGGCCGGCCGAAGACGGCGACTTCGACTAGGTTCCCGGAGTCCACTAAGTCCACCTCCAGCAGGGCCTGGGTCATCCACTCAATTTCTGGAACCACGGCTCGGTCTGGACCTGGACAGACAAGGAGAAACTCTCAGGGGCCGCTTAAGCTGAAGGCAACTTTGGCTGGAAAGGGACCAGCTGGAAGTCACCATTCCAGCAGCCCGGGTCTGCAGCAGGGAAAGCTGCAGAGGTGCTCCGACTCGCCGGGCCTTGTAGGCTCTCACCAAAGAATAAGTCTGCCAGCCACGCTTCCAAGCGGAACACCGAAGGGTCGCCCAGCTCCTGCGCTGGAAGCCACCAGGGCCGAGTGCGAAGCCGCTGAGACCCCTCTAAGGAACTGGCGGCCCTCAGCCCGCCCCGTGGGGCCTCAGCCGCGCTGGCGTCGTCGAGCATTTTGCGCACAGTGGGGCGGCTGCTGCCCCTTTTATCGCGCCCGGCCCCGCCCCTCGGTGGCCCGCGCGCCCCCCTCCCCCTCCAGCAAGCAGTTGCGCCTTTCTTCCCAACGTACAGGATTTTAATTAAAAATTTAACTTATGGAAGACTTCACACATTCAAAAGAGTAAAATAATACAGCCACGAATCCTCTCCCGATTTAACAGATGTTGCTATTTCCACAAACAGACGTTGATATTTCTCCACATTTGTCTCACTTCTCTCTCTTTAAAATAAATTTTAATAGGCCTGGCGCGGTGGTTCACCTTTTAACCAGCCCTTTGAATGAGTTTTATCCCTTGCCTTTTCCTTTCAAGTCCACTAATGCATGTTAAACTTCATACCATTTCTCACTTTTTAAAAATGTATGCAAGAGTCTAAGTGACCTAACTTTAACCCAGTGGGGTTATGTAAATCTAGCTGGGACCTGACAGAGCTAGCTCACACCATTGTGTGTGGCCTTCCACACAAATGGTCACTGGCCTAAGAAACAAGGTCATTCTTAGCACTCAAAACACAATGACCTGGGCCTGGTTGTTTTTTCTCCCGGTACCATCATCTTCTCTAAAGCATTTACAATATTCACATGTCATCATTAATATATGTACATTTTCATATATGATATGTATATCATTTACATATATGTACAAATGTTCATAATTCTGTATCATTGTGCATATGTATGTATTCATTTCACTGAAAGTTTTTTTCCTAGGCTTTGTGAGTGTCATTTACTGCAGAAAGTGGCCCAAGGTGTTTTGTTATTTCAGAGATGTTGAAAAGCATGATAGCTAAAGAAATATATTAATTTTTCCCTGTCTAGTAGAAAGATACAGCTATACACGAATGTAGGAGGAAGGGGGCATTTACTTCCTCGTCATTCACAGCCTGTTAGGTCCTATTTTGAAAGTGAACAGAGAAAGTTACCAGGCCGTTAAGAACACGTTGAGTATATGAGATCAAGGAAGGTCAGGTGGTACTCCACGCACGAACTTTGGGATGTCTACATTCCTCAACCTGTAGAAATAAAAGACATGGACTTTCTTCTGTGAACCTATTGTCCCAGTTTAACCTTGAGATGAAAATCCCAACCAGTGAACTGCCACACTGTGGGCAAAATGACCATATACCCAGCTGAGTGTCTCAGGACTCTTGTTTTCCTCTCCATCTGAAGGAAGCCTAAGCATTAAACCTCAGTCCTTGCAGGACAGCCCTGAGTCTCCAGCCAGGCCTAATTAAGCTGATAGGCTCATTGCTTCTGCCTGTGCTGGCAAAGAATGGAGAGAAAATGACCTGTGACCTAGTTTTCTCCCTGGCATTTTCCTGTCAAGTCCTCTCATGTTTGCCAAACCTCACGCTGTTTCTAATCCTTCCTCTGTGTTCAAGAGACTTCACAGCCTGCCTTTCAAGGGTTTTAAGCTAAGGAGTTCCTCAGGTCATCTCAGTGGGGTTCTGCAAATTTCCAGTGAGGTTCTGTAAATCCCAGTGGCATTCTGTAGATCCAGCTGGGGCCTAATGGAGCTGGTCCCACCAGTGTGTGTAGCCTTCCATACAAATGCTCATTGTGGTTATTGGTCTGAACAACAATAAGCCACCCTTAGCACTAAAAGGACAATGACCTGGGCCTGGTTGTTTCTTTACCCAGTACCATCATTTTCTCTACAGCATTTTCAATATTCACAAAGTATCTATTTATATATATGTATATAATCACACACATTTATATATACTCATGTATATTTTATATATAAATATGTGAATATATTCACATATGCCTACATATATTCATAATACTGTATCATTATGCATGCATCTATTCCTTTCAGATAAGTTATTTTTATAGGCCTTGTGTGTGTCATTTGCTTGCAGAAAGTATCCCAAAATGTGTTGTCATTTCAAAAGAAGTTGAAAAGCATGATAGCCAAAGGGATATTTGTTCTCCTCTGTTTAGTGGGAAGATACCATTGTATATCTGTAGGGTGTAGGGTACATATACTTTCTGAACTTTTTTTTTTTTTTGAGTTGGAGTCTCACTCTGTCGCCCAGACTGGAGTGCAGT